TAGAAATGTTTTGGAAATTAATGCTATTTTAATAAAGCCACATCTACATCTTAATTAGTAATACAATAGACTCTGTGTATGTATTTTCACTCTCTTCAATATTCATAGTATATTTCATTGAGATTCAAGGTTGATCTTGGCCTAAACAAAACTAAATTTGGAAAAATGTTAGCTTTTTAAAAATGAGGTAGACAGGCAGGCAGTCACTCCTCGAGTACTTTCTGAGCAATGTGGAGAGTACTTTTAACCCTGAAGGAAATTTGTGGTACATAAGAGTCCCTGACTCTTGACTCATTCCCTTCGACAGAAACTGATTGCCCAAGTCATTAACTTTTTTATATCCTCCTTAAATAATAGTTTTAAAGTACACTGTGTATCCCAGCAGTTTGTATCTCTCAGTTGTTAACAAAGGGGATTTTTTTTTTTTTTTTTTTTTTTTACTAGACCAGGACATTGAGCAATCTCTGAAGTTGCATCATTTATTGTTTCTTCCTAACTTTTGCTTGGATGATCTGAGTTGTTTTTTTTGTTTGTTTGTTTTGTTTTTTTGGGGGGTTTTTTTGGTTGTTGTTAGTCCAGCATCCATTAGCAGACATGAAGGTCATGAATAAGTGAGAGCAATTTATTTAAAAAGTAACAAAAAAAAGCTTTCTCACTTACATGTTTACTGAGAGTTTCATTAAATTATGGCCTAAGGCTACTCAATTAAATCACTAAAGGAGAACAAAGAAAAAAGAGGAGAGTATGAAAGTGAGAGCAGATAGTGAGGTTTTCTTCCTAGTTCTGGTAGGCTTCAATCTTTAAATATCTGTGTAAAAAAAAAAATAGTGTCCTTATTTTAAAAGTATCTTCCTTTATTCCATTTGTTTTAAAATATTTGAGTAGAGAAAAAGGAAGGGAAGTAAAAAGATGACACAGATGTTGATTTTACAGTTTTCTTCCAAGTTCTAGTGGACTTCAGACTTCAAATGACTGTTCAAAGAAAAAAATATATACTCTCATTTTAAAGGAATTTCCTTTTATACGTAATGTTTATTTTTAAATACACTTAGATAATAATTGATTACAATTAAAAACATATATTTGATACAGATGAAATTCAGGATCTCAGAAACACAGGGATCATTTATTATACTGCCTGCCTGCCTGATCACCCCAACCACTCTGCCTGCCTGCCTGATGCCCCTAACTGCCCTCCCCTGCCAACCTGATAGCCCTGAACTGCCTCTGTGTTGGCCCTGCTACCATGGCTTTGTCCAGAAGGATGTCTGGAAGATATTTGGTCTAATTAGCATATTACCCTTTTATTAGTATAGATAATTTGCTGGAAACTAAGAGGCATATCTACATTAATATCCAACCATTATTTATTCATGCATAAAAACTTTTAAAGAAATTTCTCTAAGTTCTCCTCCAATTACCTTTTGATTTAACCATTTAAAAGAGTTTATCCTGGGGAAACCCGTCTTATCACAATTTCTGGGCATAGATATGATAATAAATAAAAAGATATTCCAGACCATTTTTTAATGTTTTCTACAATTTTAACCATGAAGATAGGAATTTTTCTCCATCCCTAACAAACCATAGCATTACTCTGTTGAGTGATTTTTGTGGGGGTTTTAAAAGCTGAATATAAGTAGAACATTTCTAGATTGCTATACTTAGTTTTGGGATCCATGATTTAAGAAAAAAAAATCTGAAGTGTATTTGGAGGAATATGCAATAATTAAAAAGGTGTAAAATGAAAACTAGGAGTTTAAAAAAAGTATTAATGTTAAGAGAAACCATGTAAAATTATGAGGAGTTACAGTGGATTAGTTTACTTGAAAAGTTTAAACATGCATTCCTGTACTACAGAGGTAGGAAAGTTAAACACTATTATTTCCCAGCCTCCCTTGCAGCTAGGGTTCCAGGTATGATTGGTCCAATGATCAGATGCACGCACTTGAGACTTTCACTTGGAGCCGAGTTTGGCAACACAGAGCGTGGCAGCAGTGGTGTGATTCTGGTGCTGGCAACTGTTCGTGTCTTTCTAATCCACCAGGCAGCTTCCCAATGTGGCAAGCAGCTTCTTGATTATTCCAAAAGCAGCAGCTTCTTTGGCAGCCCTCTCTGGTGATGTGGTTCCTAGAAGCTCAGCCTAGGTTATGTTTCTTCAGCCCTCTCAAAATTTCTGGGAGCTATTTATTTCCCATGATCAATAGCACTCAGTTTAATAGCTAAAGAAGATTCTATGACCTACAACCATGAATCTTGACCTCTACAGAATCTTATAGCTACAAGTCAGGTGCAACAAATAAAAGGATTTAAATATGAAGTGGGCTGAGTTGAAGAGGTAGAGCTTTAGGCCATGAGGCCTCATGTCAACTGAAGGGTTTCAAAGAAAGTGCGGTAGAAATTTAGAATGCTAGTAGTACGTGGGGCTGCCTCTGCCTCTTTCAGCAAAATCCTACAAGACAAGTATCACTCGGGCTAAGGCTTACAAGTCTGCAGAGATGAAAAAGTATATATAGCTTTGCTGAGGGAATTGTTCTCTTGTCTACAAAAAAAATAAATAAATAAATAAATAAAAAAGACTAAAGTCCCAAATCTGGAGCCTTGAAGAATTGAAAAAGTCAACTACTACCACACTCCATAAGTAAAGGTTCTGAGGAAGCTGTTAAAATTGCCTTAACCTTTTTCAAGAATCTTCCCTTAAGAATTTTCTGCCAAGTAATGGGAGCCATCCTGAAGAAAACGGTCTGTTAAGTACTGTTGTCATCCCATCCAAGCCATTCATTTAAGACCCCAGAAGAAAGAAAGAACACAGAAACCAGCAAGTAAAGATGGGTCCTTTGGTAAAAAAAAACTATGCCTTGACAAGATCTTTCTGGTTACTCGTGATAATAATCGAAGAAAACAGACCAGAAACTTACTAAGTTTTTAGGGGATTGTTTTGTAAAACACACACACACACACACACACACACACACACACACACACAAAACACACACACACACACACACACACACACATACACACACTCTAAATAAATAAAAACCCTAAACCTGGCCTGCAATAGCCTGTAACTATCTAACAATCCCCAAGCCCCCAAATCCAAAATAATTAGGAAACAAAGTGCTAAGACTATCCAGCCTCCAAGAAGGACATCCTTTCTGATGTGTACCTAAAAAGTAATGGACAATAAAGACTTCCTAGAGGGCACCACCGAGAGGCCCTGAGGACATTAGACAAGGGAGTTACTCCCAGAAAGGTGCGTCAGCACTTGCCTGATGGGAAAACAAGGAATATGTTTATGGACAGAGCTGAGAGACCTGCTATGGATCAGTGACTGACTGCTATGTTTCCCATTTTCCCCTTTTTTCAAAAAGACTGATTTTATGCAGTTATCCTGTACCTATCCCACCTTTATGCATATGGTACCCATGGGGCAGACACCTTGATTTTTACTTTCTGGGTGGCCAGAGATACCATGGTCTCTGAACTATATGCAATAATGGGTGGGATTTTGATGGTTTCCTTTTGAGGTGGGTGTTTTCCATGTTTTAGAAGAGTGTACATAGATATTTAGGTAGCCAACAAGGCTGTCTAGATTAAAATTTTAAAATAGTTGCTTACCAGTCCGGCCGGCATGGCTCAGTAGTTGAGCATCTACCTATGATCCAGGTGGTCACTGTTCAATTCACAGTTAGGGCACTTGTCCCGGTTGCAGGCTCAATCCCCAGTGGGGGAAGTACAGGAGGAAGTTAATCAATGATTCTCTTTCATCATTGATGTTTCTATTTCTCTACCTCTCCCTTCTTTGAAATCAATAAAAATGTATATATTTTTTAAAGTTGCTTAACAAACATTACCTCTTCCCACCTCCCACCTTCCTTAATTAAAGTATCCTAATATTTACTTACTTATTTATTTACTTATTTTCGTTAATCCTCACCCAAGAATATTTTCCATTGATGTTTAGGGAGAGTGGGAGAGAGAGGGAAAGACAGATGGAAACATCAATGTGATAGAAACACATGGATTGGTTGCCTCTTGTAGGAGCCCTGAACAGGACCCGGCCAGGGAGGAGACTGAAACTGAGGTACATGCCCTTGACTGGAATCGAACCCGGGACCCTTTGGTCCACAGGCTGACACTCTATCCACTGAGCCAAACCAGCTAGGACAAGTATCCTAACTTTTAGCTGGTAACATTGCCACAAGGATGTTTCAGTTTCCCTAGCAGCTAGATGGCCATGTAACTCAGTTTGGGCCAATGAGATGTAAGTTCAAATGTTGTGTGGTTCTCCAGGAAAACTGCTTCAAGGGAGCTGAGAAAGCTCCTCAAGTGGAGAAAGATCCTTTTCTTGCCTTTCCCAGCTGCCTCCAAAAGCAATCTTGGATAGTAAGGATGAAGCAGCTTGAGGACAAAAGCAATGTACTGAGGATAGTAGAGCAGAAAGATAGGAACCTGGACACCACCTGCCTACAGATTTATATAAAAGGGAAAAACTCCTACTTAATTTAAACCACTGTTATCTTTGGTTTTTGGTTATATGTAGCAAATCTGATCTTAAATGATAGAGTATAAAGCAAAAGTATGAGTGAAAAATTAGTATCAAAAAACTCAAGTAGTGTCAAAAAACTATTCTGTAGCAGTTAAGAGTGATGAAAGTAGGAAGAAGTTACCAAGAAACAGGGAATACCATTACATTCGGGAGGAGAATTGTATCAAAGAGAGAGGGGATGATAAGCACCCATAAAAGAATATCTATCTTCATGAGCAAGTGAGAGCAATTTATTTAAAAAGTAACAAACATAGCTTTCTCACTTACATGTTTACTGAGAGTTTCATTAAATTATAGCCTAAGGCTACTCAATTAAATCACTAAAGGAGAACAAAGAAAAAAGAGGAGAGTATGAAAGTGAGAGCAGATATTGAGGTTTTCTTCCTAGTTCTGGTAGGCTTCAATCTTTAAATATCTGTGTAAAAAAAAAAAATAGTGTCCTTATTTTAAAAGTATCTTCCTTTATTCCATTTGTTTTAAAATATTTGAGTAGAGAAAAAGGAAGGGAAGTAAAAAGATGACACAGATGTTGATTTTACAGTTTTCTTCCAAGTTCTGGTGGACTTCAGACTTCAAATGACTGTTCAAAGAAAAAAATATATACTCTCATTTTAAAGGAATTTCCTATTATACATAATGTTTATTTTTAAATACGCTTAGATAATAATTGATTACAATTAAAAACATATATTTGATACAGATGACATTCAGGATCTCAGAAACACACACAGGGGATCATTTATAATACCTCAAAAAGACACTATAGCAGATGCCAAAAACCAAAGTGAAATCTGGGTGTTTAACCTCTTGTCTTCACATTTTGGGCAATGAGGCAGCATGCTGGCTTTTGTGTGTGTATTTGTATAAAGAATAAGGGCCTGCAACATAAATCTTCCATATAAGATGGATCAGGCAAGCCAAGGTATGAACATCAATACTGCGCAACCTTTAGTCCAGAACAGCTTAGAAAACTGAAAGATACATTTGCCGTACCCACATTGGGTTACCATAGCAGAACTTACTTCAGCTACCCTACTTGATGGATCAGTAATAAAGATGTGGTTCAAGAACCAGCACAGCAGCCCAAGCTGGTTTGGCTCAGCGGATAGAGCATCGGACTGAGGACTGAAGGGTCCCAGGTTCAACTCTGGTCAAGGGCACATGCCCAGATTGCGGGCTCATCTCCAGTGGGGAGCAAGTAGGAGGCAGCCTATCAATGATCCTCTCCCATCATTGATGTTTCTATCTCTCCCTCTCCCTTCCTCTCTGAAATCAATAAAATATAAATTAAAAAAAAGAAAAAAGAATTAGCACAGCAAAAAGGAAGAAGCAATAACTACAAACTTGCCAAGTCTGGCATTAGAAGCACCAAACCAAATAATTTCAGCGAGGGAGGCAGAAACCGTCTTACCCATTAGTTCACAAACCACCATGAGTACAGCATTGTGAATGCCTATGACCGGAACTACCTAAGACTTCTGGTGTCCAGCACTCTGGAGGGGTTTTTCTGGTGGCGGTACAAGTGGTGGGACCTCCTAGTCCACAATCTTGCCGACATCATGCTCTTAAATGTTTAAACAGACCAGTTATTTATCTTTTTCTATAAGAAGAAATCCCTCTGTCTTTTATCATCGCCTGAAAGTTCCATCCTCTTAGTCTCCTGGTCAAGGACAGTCATCGGTGCCTCTAGAGGAAGCAGAAGCCAACTAGTTTTCCTTGGTCCTAGCCTGTCCCAAGTTAGCTGAGCACCATGAAAGCTCTCCAACTAAAGTCAAAATGACATAAAATTCCTGTCCCGAAAGGACCATCATTATTTCTTACACACACACACACACATTTAAGAGCATGATGTCAGCAAGGAGGTCCCAGCCCTTGTACGCCGCCAGAAAAACGATGGTTACTGATGAAAATAGCTCTGAGAGAGCTCTGGAGTGCACACAGGAGCTACAGCAGCCCCGTGGAGCACAGAAGTCAAAGGTGGCCACATAAACAAGCACAGGCAGCATTTGACCTTTGCCAAGCTATCCCTCTATCCCCTAGTCCTGCAGAGCTTGCTGCCCAAAGGGGTGCCCTCAGCAGTGACCTCTCCCTTTGGAGGAAAAGGAGAAGACCCCAGCAGTTTTCATCACCAAGGACCCAAGCAGCCCTCGTGACTGTCAGGGACACTTAAGCTTTTTTAAAAAAATATATTTTTATTGATTCCAGAGAGGAAGGGGAAAGGGGAGAGAGATAAAAACATAAACGATGAGAGAGAATCATTGATCGGCTGCCTCCTGCACACCCCGCACCGGAGATGAGCCTGTAACCCATTGAACTAGGGACCCTTCAGATCACAGGCCGAAGCTGTATCCCCCAAGCCAAACCCAACACCTAACATTGCCACTAAGGACTCCCTCAGTCTTTGCCTATGCCAATCTCATCTAATGGAGCTGCGCAGAATCCATGCTACTGAGCCCCCAAAGAAGGAGCCAATGCTGGGACCCCAACCACAGTGGCCCTGGCCCAGCACATGAACACCTACACCCTCAGTGGTTAGATGTAAATAAAATGGACAATGATGGAGATTGAACAAATGTTTTAATACAGTTCTACCCAAAGTGGTGCATGCCAAAAGAACCCCCTAATGACTCCCCAGGATTAAAGAGCCCCAAACAGGTCTGCCTTATTTATCCTGGTTTGGAACATTTGAAAGCCAAGATTCAAAGATTATAATGAGAAATCTGACTTGCAATTGCTTTGAGCAATGGTGAAGGAGATGAATCAAAATGAAGGCTGACATAGCCCATGGACACGGGCAATAGGATAGTGCAGATCTTGAGGGGCGGGTAGTGGCTGGGAGAAAGAGGGAAAGTGGGGAAATGGGAGATATCTGTAATACTATCAACAATAAGAAATATTTAAAGAAAGAAAGAAAGAAAGAAAGAAAGAAAGAAAGAAAGAAAGGAAGGAAGGAAGGAAGGAAGGAAGGAAGGAAGGAAGGAAGGAAGGAAAGGAAAGGAAAGGAAAGGAAGGAAGGAAGGAAGGAAGGAAGGAAGGAAGGAAGGAAGGAAAGAAAGAAAGAAAGAAAGAAAGAAAGAAAGAAAGAAAGAAAGAAAGAAAGAAAGAAGAAAGCTGACAAAGGAACCAGGGTCCTTTGACTCAACCACTCATTGGGGATTCAAAGTCTTTACACCAGAGTGGGTAAAATGGTCAGGAGGTAGAGAAGAGAAATTTCTGGACTCATTGACATGGGAGTTCCACAAACTGTAGACCAAAATCCACTGGTGAAGCACTGATGTGAACTACAATTAGATGGAGAGAACATAAAGGTTCTTCTCCCAAAGAACTGGTGGGATTATGAGCCTTGGAATGTTTAGAGAGGTTTATGCAAATAACTTGTGTCTTCTTTACCTGAATGTTTTATGGGAATGGATACTCTGGCTGGGCAACACTTACTCTACCAAATGTTGTAAAACCAAAACTGTGTCAGAATGGAGACTATAGTTAAGAAAAAAATTAAAATTAAAAACATGTTCTCTGATAATATCAATAAATGATTAGAAAGAATGATAATGTTGAAACAAATCACTTCATCATAAATATGCCTATCAAATTATATAGCTTTTGAAATATACAGATGCATAAAAACTTTATAGGCCTTCTGTAATGTAAGGTGCTGTAGTTCCACAAATATATAGAAAATAGCAAGGATAATAATAATTTGACATTATACTTGCAATAAATGTGGATTTCAATTTATTCCCTTAAACAAATAAGCAAACAAAATTACATACGTGGCTCGAACTTTGATTCTCCACCAGGCCCTGATGGAGAAATTTCTTGTAATTTTTTTTGTTCCATCTGCTGTATAACCTGGGGAATGAAAAGTAATGTTTTAAAAGGAAGCAGTACTTAATTTTTCTCTGATATGTGTGACCTGGAACAAATCACAACTAACTGAAAATTATTTTCCAAGATGAAATAGTCAAATTCTAAAATTTAGATTAATATTCAACAAAGCAGTTTTAAAAATACCATCACCTAAAATACTGTAGCTAATAGTACATTGAAATATTACTACAACACAGGCTTTAGAAAAGCACCTAAAATCCTTTCTAATGCCACAATCCTTCCACAAAATACCACCTGATTATATTCCAGCTTCTGAGCCTCGAGTTGGTCATGCTGACGTTGTAGTTCTTCTTTTTGTTTCTGAAGCTCATCTGCTTTCTTCTTAAGTTCATTTTCTTGTAAGGCGATCATATTTTCATATTCTTTCAGTTCTTCCTCTGTGAAAAACTGTTGCTGATCTAATGTCTAAAAAAAAAAAACGAAGAAAGAATAATCTTAGAAATGCAATAGCAAGGTCTGATTCAGCTATAAAATTGTATGATTAGCAAAGTGTAATAGAATATAGTATTATAAAAAAAAGAAAGAGAATTAAGAAAATGCATTTTTGTGTACTCTGAATAAAAGGAACACTTAAAGACTAATGAGGTTGTTTATCTACAGAACGAGGGAGAAACTGGGTGGAAAGGAAATGAAAGCAAGGAAATCATACTCCTCTGAATACACATTTTTGTAAAGAATTGCTTTCCTGAAATATTCAATGTTTTACATACTCAAAAAACAAAAAACAAAATCACAAAAACAACAACAACCAAATAACTAAAATCCACAAGGACAGAAAAATCCCCCAAATTGATTAGAAACAGAAACAAATAAATAATACTTTTATTTTAACTGAATAAAATAACTGACAGAAGGGAGAAGGGAAAAAAAGAACTAACCCAAGAAACTTCAGAACACAGTATCTGGACTACATGCACTCAGGTTAAAAACAACCCAAAAATCTAAAATCTTAGTCTTGTTTTGCAGAGGCAGGGATTAGCAATGCTAAAATGCTTTGAATATGGGAAGACTGAGCAAATATGTGGAAAACTATGTGGAAAATGGGAGCCAGGTTTTGTATGAAATACAGAAAAAGAAAAAGATTAAATGTGCCGGGTCCGGTTTGGCTCAATGGATAGAGCGTCGGCTTGGGGACTGAAGGGTCCTGGGTTCGAATCCGGTCAAGGGCATGTGCCTTGGTTGCGGGCATATCCCCAGTAGGGGATGTGCAAGAGGCAGCTGATCGATGACTCTCTCTCATCGATGTTTCTAACTCTCTATCTCTCTCCCTTCCTCTCTGTACAAAATCAATAAAATATATTAAAAAAAAAAAAAGATTAAATGTATTGGAATTCAAGGTGTATTAAAATTGAAGAGGATAGTGTGAATTCATGAGTTGTAATATATATTGGCAGTGAAATATATAAAATGAATATAAATGTGTGTAGTGCGTCTATGTATGTGTGTAAAAGTATGTGTGTATATGTATATATTCATAATATAAATAAATAAAAATGTATTTAAATTTTTTTTAATTCCCAGCTTTATTATCTGACCAGGACTTGCTTTAAAAGCAAGGACAATTCAGTAGCAAGTAGTCAATTCAGTGCCCAGCTCCTGGTCTGTACTATTGATCTCCACTGAAAAACAAAGAACTGAAAAGTGGCTGATTTCAGAGGTGGGACAGAGAAGGAACAAGATGAACCTTGAACATCTTATGCTAAAAAATAAAATAAAAAAGTCCTCAAAGAATGAGGGGAACATACCAGAAGGCCACAAAAACCTGTTTGAGGAAATTCCCATTAGCCAAGAATGGAAATAATAGGAAGGATGCAGGTTTACTGAATAAAACTGGAATCCACGAGTCTACAGTGAACAGAGAGAGAAGAGGAAAAGGGCAGCTTTTCCTTACAATACAAAGACAAAAAATAAATGTAGAAGGAATGGTGATTAGAAAATCACCATTTGTCAACAGTCAGGTAGCAAATGATGCTGACCAGAATGATGATAAGATGGAACTTGTAGAGAAGTCTCAAAGTATATCCTTAAAAATACATTTTTTAAATCACTCATTTTTTATTAGTGTAAATATAAATTAGTGCAATTCTTTCAATATTCTTTTTTTTAATATATTTTATTGATTTTTTACAGAGAGGAAGAGAGAGGGATAGAGAGTTAGAAACATCAATGAGAGAGAATCATCAATTAGCTGCCTCTTGCACACCCCCTACTGGGGATGTGCCCACAACCAAGGTACATGCCCTTGACCAGAATCGAACCTGGGACCCTTCAGTCCACAGAACGACGCTCTATAAAGAATATTGAGCCAAACCGGTTTCAGCTCAATATTCTTTATAAAATATATCAATAGTTTTAAAAATATTCTCTTGACCCTGATGCTACATTGAGAATCTACTTTATAACATAGTCCTTGACACATTAAAAGCTTTATATAAAAATGTGTTGATAGTAACAATAAGGAGATCCAAGATGGCGGCCCAGGTAAACACACCTAAACTGCAGCCGTGCACAACAATTTCAAAACTACAACTAAAAGACAAAATGTCTATCACCCAGAACCATGGGAAAGCTGGCTGAGAGGAAGCTCTACAACTAGACTGAAAGAGAGAAGAGCATTCAGGCACAAGCGCTGAAAAACTGAGGTATGGGGGGAAGGGGGAGGAGGAGAATGCGCACGTTGCTTTCTTCAACCCGAAGAGAGACAAGCTCCCAATCTCTCTGAAATCCACTTTCTGGAAAGAAGCTGGACTGTCTGCCATCGGCTTAGAAAGTGAGGGTGGCTTGCTTACAGAACTGCACACAAGAATAATTGTTTGCTGTGCTGGAGCGTGAGATGTAGGGACACGGTCAGAAAGGTAGAGAGGGCTCACTGCCAGCTATCACTGTTTGCCAGGTCCTAGCCTAATGACGTCCTGAGGCTCTGCCCAGCACAATCTACAAACATACCCAAGCTTCAAGAAGCAGCTTTTGCCTATGAATGGCCTTCTCTATTGCAGTTTAACCTAGCAAACTTGCAACCTGGTGCGGACAGCTCTAAAGCTTCCAAACTCCAAGCAGGAAGGAGAGGACTGTGGTTCTCCCTGCAGCTTCTGCCGGTTGGCCTCACACAGTAGCTGAACTGCACCCCATTGGAGATCCAGAAGCCAGTGTATCTAATGGTCAGTGTGAGACACCAGATTTCAACTCCTCATATCCATAAGTGACACATTTGGGAGGCAGACTCAATGAGCACCAAAGCCCCACTGAAACAAGGCCTACACCATAAGCATGTCTCCAGTGCAGCAGTTCTTCCATTATAGACACAGCAGGTCCTCACAGCCAATTGGCCTGGAGGTCAATTCTTCCCAGTGTACCAACAGCAATCAAGGCTTACCTACACCAAGATTTTGCACTCAGCTCACAAAGGGGTGTACCAAGAGCAACCACCTCGGGTGATTGGGGAAGCTGAGCTGCTGGTCCCTATAGGTCACCTACCACACAAAGCCACTCCATCAACACAGGAAGGCAACCAAAATGTGGAGACACAGAAGCATGTCACAAATTGGAGAGACTAAGAAAAGCAAACTACTGGATGACAGAGTCCAGAATCACATGTATAAGGTTACTCAAGAATCATCTAAAAACTGCTGAGAAACTTGAAGAGACCCTCAAGGACCTTAATGAGAATACCAAAAAAAAAAAAAAAAAAGGAAAAGGAAAAGGAGGAGTCAGAAATTAAGCATACACTGTCTGAAATAAAGAATATATAGAAACTCAACTGTAGATCAACATACCCCAAGAGTCAAACCAAAGATCTAGAATATGAGGAAACAAAAAATACCCAACCAGAGAGGCAGAATGAAAGAAGAATCCAAAAGTGTGAGGTTAGTGTAAGAAGCCTCTGGTATGGTTTTAAGCATACCAACATCGGATTTTTGGGGTGCCAGAAGAAGAGAGAGATCAGGATATTGAAGACTTACTGAAAGAAATAATGACAGAAAACTTTCCCTACCTGGTGAAAGAAATAGACTTACAAGTCCAGGAAGCACACAGAACCCCAAACAAGAGGAATCCAAAGAGGACCACACTGAGACACATCATAATTAAAATGCCAAGGGCAAAAGACAAAGAGAGAATCTTACAAGTAGCAAGAGAAAAACAGTTAGTTACCTACAAGTGAGTACCCAAACGACTGTCAGCTTATTTCTCAACAGAAACTATGCAGTCCAGAAGAGAGTGACAAGAAATATTCAAAGTGATGAACAGCAAGAACCTACAACCAAGATTACTCTACACAGCAAAGCTATAATTCAGAATTGAAGGTCAGATAAAGAGCTTCACAGACAAGAAAAAGCTAAGGAGTTCATCACCACCAAACCAAGATTACATGAAATGCTGAAGGGTATTCTTTAAGAAGAGGAAGAAGAAAAAGGTAAAGGTAAAAACTATGAACAACAAAAAGATATCAAATACCTACAAGCAAGTGAATCTACAAATCAAGTGAATAAAAAATCTGAAGAACAGAATGAACTAGTGAATATAATAGAATCAGAGACATAGAAAGGGAGTGGACTGACAATTCTCAGGGGGAAGGGGTGTGAGGGGTGTGGGAAGAGATTGGACAAAATCTTACACCTATGGCTGAAGACAGTGGCAGGGGGTAAGGGCATGGGGTGGGGTGGAGAATCAGGTGGAGGGGTGCTATGGGGGAGGGGGAGGAACACCTGCAATAATCTGAACAAAAAGATTTATTATATTTTTAAAAATAAAATAAAATAACAACAAAAGACTGAAGATAATCTGAATGTCTAATCCTGAGAAAATAATTAAGCACCCATAGGCATGAAAATAATGTTTACATATTGTATTTGGAAAGACTTATGATGTAGAATGATGCTGTTTTTTAAAATCTGACTTAAGATTCTGGCAATATCACTGGTTTTATAAGATATATTTTTAGATTATAAAAGGTAAAATTATAACTTTACAGTGAAAACACCTGGTAGACTTCATCTTAACCAAATAATCAAAGTTAATATTGCCAAGTTAAGGAATAATCAGGACCATATGCCTCCTGATACCATGTTCTTAGTGAGCATCATTTCAGCTATGTTCCTGTCAAAAGTAGGAATCATAAGGAAACAGCCCCTCAAACTGATGGCTAGTCTACAAAATAGCTGGTCTACAATCTTTTGAAATATCAATGCCATGAAACGCAATGGCTCAGGAACTATCTCAGATTAACAGAGACCAGAAAGACATTGCAACTAAATCCAATGCATTATCTCGAGTTTTCTTTAGCTATAAAAGACAATATTGGGAAAATTGACAAAAATCTCAATCAACTCTACCTGATTAGAGAGGTAGGGAACCTTCTTTCTGCCAAGGGCCATTTGGATATTTATAACATCATTCTCAGGCCATATACAAAATTGCCAGCTTAACAATTAGCCTGCTATCTTTGGTCAAACATTTAATAACTCACCACTAATGCCTTGGCAGGGCCAGACCAAATGATCTCTGGGCCGTATACAGCCCGCAGGCCAGAGATTCCCCGTCCCTGGATTAGAGAATTGTGAGTGGAGGTGGGGAGGTTGATAATTTTACTTGATTATATGAGATAAATCTTTTTCCCCCCCAAAAAATACACATTTGAGTATGTAAGGTTAAAGCAGTATCATGTGCAACTTACTCTCAAAAATAATTATATGTTATATATAGATACACATATACACAGATTTAAAAAATAGAAGGAGAGAAGTAAATGTAAAATAGGAAATCTTGGCAAAGGGAATTCAGGGATTCTTATTCTATTCTTACACTTTTTTGTAAATCTGAAACTGTCAAAATAAAAAAAAGTACATAATTATCTATTAATCTGAATCACCAGAAACATTAAATAGATTGCATGTTCAAATAATTTTAGAATTTTTCTTCGCTAAAGTCCAGAAATATTTCAAATGATAGACAAAACTTGTAACAAAAAGCAAAGGCCCCACCCATATGGTTCAGGGGTTGAGCCTCGAACTATGAACCAGCAGGTTGCCAGTTCAATTCCTGGTCAGGCACATGCCCCAGTTGAGGCACATGCAGGAGGCAATGAATCGATGTTTCTCATCATTGATTTTTCTTTCTCTCTATCCCTTTCCCTTCCTCTCTAAAAATCAATAAAACTTTTATTTTTAAAGCAACTGATTTCTTTAATCTCAAACTAAGATGACCAACTGTCCCAATTTGCCTGGGACTTTCCTAATTTTAGCACTAAAAGTTACATATCCTGAGAACACATCCTGGAAACTCTTCAATCCCAGGTAAGCCAGCACAGCTATCTCAAATGATTTTCTGGACAATTAAAATCTAATGGAAATGATAATATTTTTCTTTTCTATAAGGAAAAAGAAAATGTTCTTTCTTCAACCTAGTTTAGTTGGTGCTTCTCAAACACTCTTGTAAGATGCATATGCACTCAATTCTACACAGGCAGCTTGGATATAAATTGGAATACCTTTCTGGAGCAATTTGACAGATACATTTAGAAACTAAAAAAAAAAATAAAATAAAATAAAATAAAAAGTTTATAAACTTTGAGAATAGTTCTATTCCTAGGAATTCATCTCAGGGAAATCACAGATGCCACAAATGTATGAACAAATGGATAGTTATAATAGTGTTATTTATTACAGTAAAAAAAAAAAAAAAAAAAAAAGTGGGATGCATCCAGAATGTCTAAATTTGGAGAAATGATTATATAAATGATGCTAGAACCATCCAACATGCATGTTAAGGAGTCATTTTTTTAAATCATATATTTGAGCAATAACACTGAAAAACGTTCAAAAAATATTGATAAATTTTAAAAAACCAGAATTTCATAAACTCACCGTCATCTATACAGTGTAAAGCCATTTTAAATATATATATAGCTATAAATGTATGTGTATATGTAAAAAAAATGAGATCATACACTATACACACTATGCTATAGGTGCATATACTAAATATATAAGCGATTTTTAAATTGGCGTAACACAATACATAATTTTAGTGTCTACCTCTAAGTGGTAGGATTATAGGTAACTTCTTTTTTTAAAATATATTTTATTTTATTGATTTTTCACAGAGAGGAAGGGAGAGAGATAGAGTTAGAAACATCGATGAGAGAGTTACATTGAACAGCTGCCTCCTGCATACCCCCTACCGGGGATGTGCCCGCAATCATTGTACATGCCCTTGACCGGAATCGAACCTGGGACCCCTCGGTCCACAGGCCGATGCTCTATCCACTGAGCCAAACCGGTTTTGGCCGATTATAGATAACTTCTAATTTATCCTTTAAATGTATTTATATTTCTAATTTTCAAGAATGAACATTATTTTATACTTTTTAAAAGACTCCTAATTATAATATGCAATGTGATTACAAACAAGAGATCAATTACCATAAGCTTTCTAAGAAATCAAGTTCCTTATTTAAAAGTGACATTTTATATGAAAAGCCAAAATAGTAAGACTATACATGCAAACATAATGGGGAATAAAAGTTAAAAGTAGAATAGACTGATGTGGAATTTCTTGAATCATACATCCCATTTCAAATAGGTTCTATTACCTACCTCCCAGCTATCAGGCTCCAAGAATTCCTTTTTTTCTGTAGCTTTCAAAAACTCTTCTAGAGTCACCAGTCGGTCTTTGTTAGAATCAACCTGATTAAAGAAAAATGTAGTAAAATCAAATAACCATTTCTCATATTACTTAGACACTAGAAACTGTCTTCCAATAAATGCTACTACATAAACATACAGCAGTTAGAGCTAGCCTAACATCCATAAACACTGAGAGGAAAAAATCAAAATAGAACACTAAACATTATATCAAAATCAGAAAATAGATATTTTCCTCTTCTATAGTATTCAAATTTGGAAGTGCAGTGAAATATTTATATCCCTGGTACCCTCAAAATCACCCAGTGTAAGAGTTTAAGTTGCTCTAACTGGTTAGGCCACCACACTATGTATAATCCCTCCTGAAGCCAAGTATTTAGGCAAGAAAAATAACCTTTCCCGTAAGAGAATTGCTTAGCCAAGAGTAATGGAGTGAAGTTAAAATGCTCTCAACAGTTATTCTTTTTTTTTTTTTTAATACATGTTTCTTTTTTCTTTTTTTTTAAATATATTTTATTGATTTTGTACAGAGAGGAAGGGAGAGAGCTAGAGAGCTAGAAACATTGATGAGAGAGAGGTCATCGAACAGCTGCCTCTTGCACACCCGCCACTGGGGATGTGCCTGCAACCAAGGTACATGCCCTTGACTGGAATCGAACCCGGGTCCCTTCAGTCCCCAAGCCGACGTGCTATCCATTGAGCCAAACCGGTTTCGGCTCAACAGTTATTCTTAAAAACAAACAACCTAATAAATTAAAACGAAACCTCCAAATTTTCCAATGGCTCTTGTAAACTATAGCAAATTCAGTTACAGAAGCAATAACCAAAGGAATTTATTTGATACCTTGGATGCCAGCAGTCAACAGAAATCCCAGTTCATCAATATCAGGTGAAAATCATCACAGAAGCAAAACAATGGGCTTTAGATGCCCTGCTTATGAAGTCTCCATTAGAGTTTTCAGTTAGTAATGTGAACAAGAAATGAATATGTGTTGTTATCAACCACTTGGGTATTAGGTTTTTGGATTTTCTTAGCAAAAACTAAAATAGTCATTTAAAATAACAAATATTAGACTACATTATTCTTTTACTTCCAAAAAGATGTTTTAATAGCTGATATGCAGTGGCATCTTAATCTTTTAAAATATTTTAAAAGAGTTACAAAATAATTTTATTCACAGTAAGGGAATACTGAATATTCAGGATCAAAAATGCAAAGTCCAATTAAATATCTAGTCTGTGTATTTGTCTTCCATTTTGTGGTGAGATTTATTGCAACAACTTGAATAATTCATAGAAATACTGTAAGATATCTTAAACTTTTAAAACATACCTCATTCATTACATGTTCCCTCATTCTAAGCCTTTCTTCCTCCATTTCTACCATATCATCCTCTTCATTTTTGGGGTCATATACTTTCTCCAACTAAAAAGAAAAATTTTAAACCAACATAAAAGGAAGAAAGATAATAAAAGGGAAAAAAAGGAGAGAAAAATAACCAAATACTTAATGAACTAATTTACCTCTTTAGTAAATAGGGCTTCTAATTCTTGTTCATCAAGGAAGCCATCATTATTGACATCTAAAGTTCCCAATGCAAAAAATTGATTTTAATACCTTAGAAAATAATTGAAATACAACTATTTACAAATGGTTTGCAAAAGCAGTATTGACATGAAGTACCAACATGATACAGAAAAAGATTTCTTCTTTTTTATGAAACCTCGGATGTGTCCAACTGATAAAAAAATCAATTTATAATTCATCATAGTTTTTAGGAAAATATATCAATTTTTGCAAAAATATAAAGCAATATGCTATGAGTAAAAGTAAATTTTAATATGATCACATAGAACTTGTTAGATATAATCTACCTAGTCACAGAAATACCTCATTTTACAGAGAATCTTGTAATAAGTCATATAACGATTTACCAGTAAAAGCAGATTTAAAGACACAGCTACTGGCTTAAAATACTTTATACTAAGTATCAGTAATAAAGACTATTATCTTACACTAGAGCAACACCCTAAACATTTACTCTCAATAGGACTCAATAGTAAACCTTGGCAGAAATAGTAAGAGTAAAGCAACTATAATTTTTCAAACAGCAGTCATAAATATTATTTGTATCAAATATGTTACCATGCAATTTGAAAAATGTCTTGGGGTCAAAGTCATTAGGATCCAATCCATCAGCCTCTTCCCATACCTCTTTTAGTTGATCTTTGCTTCCCTGTGAATCAATTAAAAAAACACATTTGGATGGTGAGCACATGGTATAATATACAGATTTTGTAACATAGAAGCCCATACCTGAAACTTATATGTTCATTTTGACCAATGTAACCTCAATAAACATTATATATATATATATATATATATATATATATATATATATATATATATATATATATAAAATTGATTTTTTTACAGAGAGGAAGAGAGAGGGATAGAGAGCTAGAAACATCGATCTGCTGCCTCCTGCACACCTCCTACTGGGGATGTGCCCACAACCAAGATACATGCTCTTGACGAGAATCGACCCTGGGACCTTTCATTCCATAGGCCGACGCTCTATCCACTGAGCCAAACCAGTTTTGGCTCAATAAACTTTTTTAAAAAACACTAAAAACAAAAACTAATCTATGTGTATATATGCAAATTAAAATATAAAGAACTTTGCAGAATTAAGAATTAATATCTAAGTACCAATAAAAATCTACTATCTGATTCGAGGAAGTATTTTCATCTAATTATGGTTTCATAAAGTCATAATCCTTACTGGATGATTAACTTTGGGATGATTTTCATGCTTTTTCTTCATTTCTTCAAATTTAGATTCTTCTTCTTTTCTCTTTTCTTCATTCAGTGTTTTTAAATATTCTCTCCTTTCATGTTCCTTCATCATTTCATACTTTTTAAATTCTTCATGTCGAGTCTTATCATAGTTTTCCAGATCACTTGTAGCCTATAATGTAATATTTAAATAAAAAGATGTGTTTGAAAAAATATAAAGTCATTCTTGCATATAGCATATTTTCTAATAGAAGATAGTATATAAGGGCCAAAAAAATAATAATAATTAATAATACAGAACTCCTCTTTCTAAATTCTAAATTCTACCATTTTATTTCAGTTTATTTTTTCTTTTTACCAGAAATTCAGGCATTCAAAGAAACTGAAAGTTTAGTAAGTTCATCATTAGTAATATATAAATTGATTTTTAAAATAAGAAGAAAAAAAGGACTATATCAAGTCTGTACAGTAGAAAACTAGATTAGTTTCTAAACACTTAACTCAATCTCATAACATCCAGGCAAGAACATTTAGTTTGTAACTTGGTACAGTACAATATGAGAGGAAAGCAAATTCTTATCTAAAATCCCTGAGCCCAGGTGAGTTCCAGAATATTCTATCAACTAATATTTGACAAGGAAGCCAAAAATACTCAATGGGCCGAAACCGGTTTGGCTCAGTGGTAGAGCGTCGGTCTGCAGACTGAAAGGTCCCAGGCTCCATTCCTATCAAAGGCATGTACACTGGTTGCGGGCACATCCCCGGTTGGGGGTGTGCAGGAGGTAGCTGGTCAATGTTTCTCTCTCATTGATGTTTCTAGCTCTCTATCTCTCTTCCTTCCTCTCTGTAAAAAAATCAATAATATATATATATATATATATATATATATATATATATATATATATATTTTTTTTTTTTTTTTTTTTTTTTTTTTAAGAATACTCAATGGAAAAATGATTGTCTCTTCAATAAACTGTGCTGGGAAAATTGGATATTCACATGCAAGAGCATGAAACTAAAACTTTTACAACACTCACAAAAATTAATTCTAAGTGGATTCCAGACTTAAATGTAAGACCTGAAATTATAAAATTCCTAGAAGAAAACAGGGAAAGGCTTCTTGACATAGGTCTTGGTAATGATTTTTTTAAATATGACACCTAAAGCACAAGCAACAAAATAAAAAACAAGTGGGATGACATCAAACTAGAAAGCTTCTGTACAGCAAAGGGAACAGTCAACAAAATGAAAAGACAACATATGGAATATGAGAAGATATTTACAAATCATGTATCTGACAAGGGGTTAATATACAAAATATTGATATATAAAGAATTCTTAAACTCAATGGCAAAAACCACACAAATAATCCAATTTTAAAATAGGCAAAGGACATGAATAGACATTTTTCCAAAGAAGATATTCGAATGGCCAACAGTACACTAAAAGGTATTCAACATCACTAATCATCAGGGAAATGCAAATCAAAACCACAATGAGATAGTACCTCTTATCTTTCAGAATGGCTATCATAAAAAATGACAAGAGATAAATGCTAGCAAGGATGTGGAGAAAAGGGAACCCTTATGCCGTTGGTAGGATTGTGAATTAATGTAGTCACTATGGAAAACAGTAAGGAGGTTCCCAAAATAATTAAAAATAGAACTACTATATAATACAACAGTTCCACTTCTGGGTGTATATCCAAAGGAAACAAAATCACTATGGCAAACAGATATCTGCACCGTTACGTTCACTGCAGCATTATTTACAATAACCAAGAGATGGAAGCAGTCTAATTATCATTTTGGCCATAGAAAAGAAGGAAATCCTACCATCTGTGACAACCTGGATGGACCTTGAGGGCCTTATGATAACTGAAATAAGTCAGACAAAAACAAATACTGTATGATCTCACTTATATGTGGAATCTTAAACTAATTGGATAGAAAAAGAAATCAGATTTATGGTTACCAGAGACAGAGGGGTAGGAGAATGGGGTGAAGGTGGTCAATGGGTACAAACTTCTAGTTATAAGATGAATAAGTCCTGGAACATAATGTACAATATGATGACTATAGTTAACAGTGGAGTATGGTATATTTGAAAGGTGTTAAGAGAGTAAGTCCTAAAAGCCCTCAATACATGAAAAAAAAACATTTTTTTACAATGATATGAGGTGATGGATGTTAACTAAATTTATTTTGGTAATCATTTTACAATGTCAAGTCATTATACTGTATACTTAAAAAGTGTTATATTTCAATTGTATCTCAATAATTGGAAGAAAAAATTTAAGTATTTTCTAGATTTTTTTAGAAAAGGAATATGGCACATATGCCACGTTCTGGAACATCCATGCAGAGTCTATAATCAAACAGAATAGTACTCCTTTAGCAAAATCTATATGTACTCAAACTAAGTATACTAAATAAAAAATATAAATAGCCCTTCTATAACTCAAGTCATGTTTCAGTTTTTACATGTGTTTTGTTTTTGTTTTTTTAGATTCTGCAATTGTTGGTAAGGGATTACAGACCTATATGTACAAATTATTATCTCCTAGAGACCTGGAGCATGAATTCATGCACAGGTGGGGTTCCTCAGCCTCACCTGTGATCAGAGCTGGCCAGCCCAGGGAAGGAACCATGGGAGGTTGGCTATGGGAGCACACTGACTACCAAGGGGCAGCTCCTTCAATTAGTGTCTGGCCCTTGGTGGTCAGTGCACATCATAGCAACCAGTCAACAGGTCATTTGGTCAACCAGTCATAATGGCCACTTAGGCTTTTTTTATATATAGATACTAATAAAGGTTAAGCCATTTCCCTTTAAAGATATTCTAGAGAGTAATATATAAAAGTTATATTATTACTTCATTGAAACCATTTTACACATTTACTTACAAAACCTCAAAGGCACAATAAAGACATTATTTTTTAGAATTATTCTTACTGCTTTGATTAGCATATCTAAATCTGTAGATTCAAACTTGTCAGGATTCATGTGGTTTAGGTGATCAAATTGTTTTAGAAGAGCATGGTAGTCTATGCCTGTATCTGGAAAAAAAGATGAGAAAACTATAAGTGATAAATTACTAGAAGCTAAAAACATTAATATAAGTAATATATTAGAATAAGCATTCATATTTATTCCTGGTGGATTTTTTTAACAAAATTCAAAGTTTTAGATTAAGGGTTCATATACTTTTAAAATATTGCATAATTTGTTATTCTGGGCAAAGATAATGTCCTTGAATCTAGAATGGAACACATTTAATGTGTACATTTTAGTGTTATTCCTAGAAAGACTAGTTGACATCAGTATAATCAATAACATAAACTTTATTACCATAAAACTATGAAATTTCCTACTTTTCATTAGATAAGTTCTAATACACTGCCCTCATCAAAGTATAAGAAGAAATTCTACACTTGATCTTAGCCAAAAGGCCAAGAAGCGATATATAAGAAGAAATTCTAAAAAGAACTACTCTAAAATTTATATGAAAGATTCATTTTATGCTTCTCCAATGACGGGTAAATTAATTTGAATAATGACTGATATTTTTAAAGAAACATCAATTGTCTTTCTTTGTAAACAATTTTTTTAAAGTAAGCTATAGTAGCATATTGTAGTTGAATGGGTGAAGTGACTCTGGGCTGTATTGTATTACAGAATTGAACAAAATAGAAGTCAGGGTTTCCACTTAGGAAATAGGAATATACAAATATGGAGTGATGGAAAACAAGAAACCTGTGGAAATGCATGGGAATTAGTACTATCAGTGTGAACTTATAATTTCTAAAATATGTATAGAAATACATGTGTGTTTCATACATGTGTGAATACATACATATACACAAATGTGCATATATGTACATTTGTATAGACATGCATGTATTTCCTAGATCTATCTGATGAAAGTGCCAAGAAGAATATATATTCCAGAAGCAATGAGCACAGCTAGTGTCAGCCCTTAGATTGTAATATAATTTCACACTAAAAAAAACAAATGCTCACAAAAATGCCTGATTCCTGGGCTGCGCAGGGTAAATATAAGATAACCCTGAGACATTACATCATGCAAGAAAGGAAGAAACTGCTAAATTTAGTTCAACCAAGCTTTTACTGAATTATTAGTATGGCACGTTCTAGGAGTTTTACTTATAAAGAAAAGATGTGTTACAAAATTTAGTCCTAAAGAATATGACCAGTAAAATATATGAAAAGATATTTAACCTCACTCAAAATAAGAGAAATACATATTAAAACTTCACTAAAATACTATGTAACAGAATGGCAAAACTAAAGTTTGAAGATGCATACTGTTAGCAAGGCTGTAAGAAATTATTGCTGGTGGGAATGTGTATTAACATAGTCTTTGTGGAGGTGGCAATATCTATCCAAATTACAAATACAAATGTCTTTTGGTTTAATAATTTCACTGTGGAGAACTTATCCTATAAGTAATCTTACACAGACACATAGTGCTATATGTAGAGTGTTCACTAGAAAAAAAAAAATGTCTATCAACAGGAGCCTGACTAAATAATGATTTCTCCATGTAATGGAAATCTATGCAGCTATTTTTAAAAAAAATGAATGTCTCTATGCATTAATACAGAAAGATTTCCAAAATATACTGTTAAAGGAAAAACACAAGGCAAAAAAAAAAAATGTGTATTGTATGCTAGCTTATATATACAAAGAGAGAAAAAATAAGAACTTTTTTTTTTTTACATTTGCTTATATAAGAATAAAGAAACTTGGGAAGGGTTGTGTTAGGGGAAGTGGGAACTGACAGGTTACAAAAATATCAGGGAGCTTTTTGCTATACCTTCTTACTCTTTCTGGGTTTAAACCATCCTACCTAATAAAAGAGTAATATGCAAATTAACCATCACTTTGCTCCACAAGCCAATCAAAGTGAGTATGCAAATAAACCCAACCAAGATGGCTACAGCCACAGAAAGCAGGAGGGAGGCGTTTCCCTAGCAATGGAGGAAGCCAAGCTTTCCACCTGCCCTGCCCGCCTAAGCCTCCACTCAAGGTTACAAAGTTTCAATTATAGAAGGTAAAAAAATCCAAACAGAAATGGCTGCCACCACAGGGTAAGCAGTAGGCTTGGCCTCTGCTCCAGGCTACAAAGTTTCAGTTGTAGAAAGGAAATATATCCCAGATACCAGGGCCTCTGCTTGGGTCACTGGGATGCGTGGCCGGCCTGAAAACCATCACAGGCCCCTCACTCAGGCTGTTCCATGCCCCAAGGAAACCCCCAACCTGATCCAGGACACCCTTCAGGGCAAACCAGCTGGCCTGCATCCATGCACCAGGCCTCTATCCTATCTAATAAAAGAGTAATATGCAGATTTACCATCACTCCAACACACAATATGGCTTCCCCCATGTGGTCAAAGATCCTGCCCCTATGTAGACACAAAGATGACTAGCAGGGGAAGATAGTTGGAAGGCACCAGGCCTTCAAGGGAGGGCAGTTGAAGGCAATCAATCCTGCAGGAGAGGGCAGTTAGGGGTGACCAGGTTGGCAGCGGAAGGAAGTTGGAGGCAAATGGGCTGGCAGGGGAGCAGACAGACATCAATCAGGCTGGCATGGGACTGGTTAGGGGGTTATCAGGCTACCAGGCAGAAGCGGTTAGGAGCAATCAGGAAGACAGGCAGGTGAGCAGTTGGGAGCCAGTAGTCCTGGATTGTGAGAGGGGTGTCCGATTGTCCAGTTAGGCCCGATCCCATTGGGCAGTTGGATATCCCTCAAAGGGTCCCAGATTGGAGAGGGTGCAGGCTGGGCTGAGGGACAACTCCCATGCACGAATTTTGTGCACCGAGCCTCTAGTGTGAATATATTACCTACTTTAAAAATTATACCTGCCCCCAAAATTAAGATCCTTGAAATCCTTCTTCAGATTATCAGAAATTTCAATTAATAAATTCTGAATCAACGACAAAATATTCCTAAGTTTTCTAAGCTTATTATATTGTTTTCTTTAGATAACAGAATTCAGTCTCTATCTTGAAATAAAGAAAGTATTGCCAAGATTTAAGGAAATAGAGATCGTTAAAGGAGAAAGAAATCTCAAAACACCTTAGGCTTGTTTCAAGGATGAAATTACCTTGTGTGCCTGGTGACCTGAAAGCGTATAGTATAAGCTCCATTTACCTCTCATTGATATCCTTAATTTCAGGATAATGAGAATTTGGTACATGTTTTCTAAGTCTATTCACCAGCAGGGAGTTTAATGCTCCACATGAGCATTTCTCCAATATAATCCATTGACCAGAGGAGCATTTTAAAATGCAGATTACTCATACCCAGAATCTGAATATCTGGGGTTGAGATTCAGTTATTTGCACTTTTAACTAGCTCTCCAGGTAGTTCTTATGCTATGTGAAGATTAAAAACTATTATTCCACAAAGAGTAAATGTTCAGATTCTATTAATGACAATGCATCACCCAAATGACCAATCTATGGGGGCAAGTCTCAAGGACACAGGAGCTAGTTTGAAGGGTCTCCCACCTGCTAAATCTGGCCCCTTGATTTTCATTCATTATTAGAAAGGCTATTCTAAAATAATAAAGGAATCCACCTATGTTGTCACCTAATGCTTTTATTATTTTATTTTCTACACTTAAATCTTTGATTTATTTTAACTTATATACAAGATACAGAACTAACTATAACATTTTCCAAATGGATACCCAATTGTCCTGACACTTTTTTTTTTAAATCTAGCTTTCTCCCACTAAAAATTAGATATCACCTTTAGTTCAAACTAAGTTCTGTGTGTATTTAATTTTACTTCTGAAATTTCTAGACTGATTCCACTGGTCTTTCTACTTACATGTCAGAAACACACAATTTTAAGCTAGTTTGATTCAGTGGATAGAGTGTTGGCCTGTGGACCAAAGGGTCCCAAGTTCGATTCTGGTCAAGGGCATTTACTTGGGTTTCAGGATCCTCCCTGGCCCATGCCCTGGTCAGTGCTTCTGCAGGAGGCAACCAATCAATGTGTTTCTCTCACATCAATCTTTCCCTCTCTCTTCCATTCTCCTTAAAAATCAATAGAAAAATATCCTCAGATGAGGATTAACAAACAAACAAACAACAAAAAAGCCAACATACAGTTCTAATGACTGAGATAGAGTGATATATTTTAACATCTAATATATAATATCTGGTCCTTCTTCATTCTGCTTTTTCAGAGGTATGTGGCTTTCCTTGCTTGTTTCCTTTTTCATATGAACTTTTAAATTAACTTGGCTAGTACCAGGGGGAAAAGTACATATTTTTATTTGGACCATGTTAAATTTATAAATTAACCTATGGAGAATTGACATGTTTATCAGCTTGAGTTTTTGCATCAAAAAGATGTATGTCTTCTGAATTTTTTCCTAATCTATTTTTGTGTTTTTCAGGAGTATTTTATATTTTTTTATCTTGTGCATTTCTTAATTGGATTATTCTGGGTATTTTATCTTTGCTGGTATTGTAAATGGAGTCTTTCCTTCCATTATATCTTCTAACTGGTTATTGTTTGTACACGTGAAATATACTGATTTCTGTATAATAAGTTTACCTTCATGAGTTTTCCTGTTGTATATAGTAAGTTTTCAGCCAATTACTTTGGGTTTTCCAAACACGTCATCTGTAAATAGAGATGATTTTATCACCTCTTTTCCAATTAATTCACCTCAATTATTTTTCATTTTTGTAATTGTTTTGACTAGAACCTCCAATAAGATTTTATTTAATAGAGGTAAGAGTGAGCATCAATTGTCTTGTTCCTGATTTTAGTTATGATACATACTTGTGTTTCTCCATTAACTATGATGTAGCTGAGTTGAACATATCTGATCATATTACAAAAGTAGCTATTGATTACTATCAAATTAAGAAGAGATGTTAAATTTTGTCAAATGCCTATGTTGCATTTAACATATATACAGAAATGGCATTTGACAAATCGTTTGTTTGTTTGTCCTTACTGGATTTTTAAAAAATATATTTATTATTTATTCCAGAGAGGAAGGGAGAGGGAAAGAGAAAGAAACATCACTGATAAGAGAGAATCATTGATTGGCTGCCTCCTGCAAGCCCCCTACTGGGGATTGAGCCTGTAACCCGGGCATATGCCCTTGACCAGAATGAAACCTGGGACCCTTCAGTCTGCAGGCGATGCTCTATTCACTGAGCCAAACCACCTAGGGCTAGAATCCTTTTGACACAATAATTTTGGTTTTTATATCATACATAATAGGAATGTGGACACTTTCCTTCTTTTTCTATGTTCTAGAACAGTTTAAATAGCATTCACAGTCTGCCCTTTAATGGTTTAATATTCCCTTTGACACTGTCCAGGCTGGTGTTTTTGGGAAGCTAGTTCTCTGACAATTTTTCTATTTTATTTATGAAAATTGTTCCAATTAGATTTTCTCTGTTTTCTTTTGGTTTACTTGGATGTTATTTTTCCTCATTTAAATCAGTGGCTTAATTTATTACTTTTCATTCTTCCTTTTTATTGATATAATTATTTTAAGCCAGTCATTTTGATTTTTTTTAATGATGTGAATGTATTAACTCTTCAAATAATTAAATTTTGAAAATTAAGAAAAGCCAAATTAATCTAACATTAAATTTTGACTAGAAAACATGACATATGCCAATTAATATAATTTGACCTCAACAACCAGATTTTGATATTTTTCTACCTTTTATGTAGCACTTACCTTGAAAGGAATCCAGTTTAGCTTTAATTAGCATTCTTAACCTTCCTACTTCTTGTCTTTTCAGTTCATCAAGTTTTGTCCTCACATGGTGACTTACTAAATCAAGCTCTTTGCTTAGTCTCCCACTCTGTTGACAAAACAATAAGTTAGTTTTATCTATTACACTGTATTTTAGAACAGATGCCTTATATTAAAAATAGGGTTATAATAAAGTAGAGATAGATACTTTTGACTAATTTCAGTAAGTCTGATATTACAAAAGCATTTTCTTTCAGAAAATATTCAGTTTGTAAGTCTAAAATTAAGATATCTAAAAGCATAAAACTTATAAAGGCATAATTAAAGCACGAAGGAGAAACTCAAAAAGTCACTCTTGTGTTATAAAATAGTGCAGCCATTTGGGGAAAAGAATTGGCAGTTCCTCAAAAATTTAAACGCAGAAGCTCTCTCAAGAAACATGCCTGCACCCCCTTCCCCAAGGCATTTTCCTTGCCTCTCTTTCTCCTACACTCCAAGGAGAGCTTTTGCTTCTGTAATTAGTTTTCTGAGCCCATTTCTTCTACACCTCACTTCTTCTGCCTCTGTAACTTTCTAAATAACTTTCTCTTGCCCCAGCCAAGTAGATAATTTGGTTAGACTTAGAGCATCGTCCCGATATACCAAGGTGTGGGTTTAACTCCCAGTCACAGCACATACAAGAATCAACCAATAAATGCATAAATAAGTGGAACAACAAATTGATGTTTCTTTCCCTCCATCCCTTCCTCTCTCTCTCTAAAAATCAGTTAAACAGAGTTACCATATGACCCAGCAATTCCATTTCTAGGCATACACCTAAAGAATTGAAATGTATGTTTACATAGAAACTTGTACATGAATGTTCACAGTAACATTATTCATACTAGCCAAAAGGGTAGAAATAACTCAAATGTCCATCAACTGGTGAACTGACAACCAATAAATGGAATATCCATCCAATGGGATATTACTCATCCATAAAAAGGAATCAATATGCTAATACTTGATACTTTGAGATGAACCTTGAGAACATAAGTTTTCATTCATTATGCGAAGTCATAGTATCCAGACACAAAAGGCCATATATTGCATACTTGCATTCATATGAAATGTCCAGAATAGGCAAATCCATAGAGATAGAAAGTAGATTAATGGTTGCCAGGGGCTAAGGAGAGAAGGAAATGGGGAGAGATTGCTTAATGGATACAGGGTTTCTTTGGGGGCAAATGAAATTGTCCTAAAGTTAGTGGTAATGATTAGATGACTTCATGACTTGGTGGATATACTAAAAAACACTGAATATTAAGCTTTAAAGGGGCAAATTTGATGGTATGTGAATTATATTTAATAAAGGGTGTTTTTTTTTTTTAATTAATTTGGCCTACTTCAGCTATTGTCATCCTATATATAAATACCTACAAAATGCATGTTTTGTAAGTTGCCGCCTTTGATTACTTTTTTCATAGATAAGTAATAAGATACATGTTCCAAGATTTAAGAAACAAAATAGCTAGTGGTTTACTTTCTCTTATTTATAAGTGCACTTGCAATCACAAACTGCAAGTCTAATTGGCAATCAGGCAAACCCTTTAGGACTGAGTCAATAGGGCCTGCTAAAGACGGTAAACTAAAGAAACCCCACAAAGGAGACCAAGAATGTTCACAGAGGAAGGAGAGCTAGGAAAATATACTCTTATAGAAGCAAAAATAGCAGTGTATCTCAAGGAGAGAATGGTGATTATTACTAGATAAAACAACAGTCCTCAAAGTGTGGGTCCCAAGTGGAAGCTTCTGGGCCACCTAGGAACTTCAGTACAGATCCTAGACTTACTGAATCGGGAAGTCTGGAAATGTGGCCCTAAATCTGTTTTTGAATCAGCCCTGAAATCTGAGAACCATTGAGATAAAGTAAAAGAGCTCAGGAAGAAGAGGAATAAAAAGTGTTCACTAGATTTAACAATTAAGAAGTCATTGATGCAAAGCTGAATGTAGTTAAATGATGTGATAACCTCTAATATTTATCTAATAAATGTGTATTCAGATGAACCCTGAAAGAAAGAAAGAAAGAAAGAAAGAAAGAAAGAAAGAAAGAAAGAAAGAAAGAAAGAAAGAAGTCAGAGTTCAGAGCAAAATGGCAATGAAGTAGATGGAAGTTACACTGACCTCCTCTCTAGACTATATCAATGTCAGAGTTGCAACTAAAGTTGGAACATCTAAAGACTAACTAAATAACCATCTAAAGACTAACTAAACAGAGTCTTTTTTTTTTTAATATTCCCAAGGTTTTTATTTTCTCTATTCTTGCCCTCCCTTTATGAACAGAAGCCTTATAACTAAGGATATACAGAGGAATCCACATGGAGACTGGTAGGAAGAGCAGAGCTATGAAAAGAGCTGGCTCCACACCCATGTGTAGGGGAGGGAGGCAGGGGGGGCAACGGGGAGTAAGAATCCAGAGGGATGCCCTAGCCGGTTTGGGTCAGTGAATAGAGCGTCAGCCTGCAGACTGAAGGGTCCTGGGTTCGATTCTGGTCAAGGGCACATGCCTGGGTTGGGGGCTCAATCCCCAGGGGGAGGTGTACAGGAGGCAGCTGATCAATGATTCTCTCTCATCACTGATATTTCTCTCTCTCCCCCTCTCCCTTCCTCTCTGAAATCAATAAAAAATATATATTATATATACAAAAAAGAGTCCAGAGGGATATCTCGGCTGAAGAAGTCTCTGGAAGAGCAAGGGGCCTCAGCTCCACACCAGGCTCCCTAACCTGTAGCACCAGAGCCAAGAATCTGAGCCCACACAGTATCTGGCTGTGACAATCAGTGGGGCTTCCACCCACCCTGGTGAGGAGAGAGACTGATCTTTTAAAGAGCCAGTGCACAAAATCTCACTCGCAGCATTCACTCTGGGCTCTAGTGGAGGATCAGCATTTTGGAGGGGACCAAAGTCATATTGGAAGAGATTGAATGGCATGGCTGTGAGCAGAGGGCTGGAGACACAGAAGCAAATGTCCCTGTGCTAGGTCCCTCTCCCACACCACCCACGGATGCCATCATTCCTGGCCAAGCTTTCCCCTCCATAAGGCATCAGCCTGGGAGTGGCAATAGCCCCTACCTGTCGACTCCTGGAGGCCCTGCCCTGCCAGGATCATTTTTCTGGTAGAGAGGTCTGTCATGCCCTCCAGCCTGGACCCCTTGTGCAGAATTTATTGAGGAGCTCTTGAGGAAGCTCGGGCAAAGTCAAGGAGTACCAGAGTCATACAGAGTGAGACTGAGTTGTGTTGCTGTCAAGCAAAGGCTTTTTTTTTTTTTTTTTTTTTCCTGTGCATCTGAATGGCACCAACCTTCTGGGGTTGGGCTAGGCCCTACCTCCTCATGACATCAGCCTGGAGTGACACTAGCCCCTCCCTGCCGACTCCTGCAAGCCCGGCCCTGCCAATCTGCTAGTCTCTAACCTGAGCCCATGGTGCAGACTTTCTTAGAGGCTGTGGAGGAGATCTGGAAAGACTCAGGGGATGGCAGACACAAAGGGAGAGACTGAGTTGTGTGGTTCTAGGGGAAGGGCCATTTTTCTCTCGCACACCAGACCAGCACCACTGTTCCTGTGCGGAGCCATCCCTCCACACAGCCAAATCTTGTTCTGTTTTAGCCTGATGGACTCTTACCCTAGCAAAGCCCTGAGACCCCGCCCCACCACAAAGACACAAAGGCCCCAGGCAGGTGGCAAATGGCTTTGGTGTACCCTCAGACTTTTGCTGAATGGGCTCAGACCCAGCATTGGCACTGAGTTTGATTCTGTGTCATCCTGGGGACTACCACTCACTCCTACCTGGTGACTCACTGAGAACTTATCTCACACACTTGCATATGGTCAATGAGTGAGTTTAACAAGTAACCAGTAGGTGGAAGCAGATCTCAGGTTAACCAGGGACTTGACTGGCCTGCCCCCAGGCTCTGTACTGATGGAAGCAAGACTTAGTATGCAGCTTGTCCCCTCCCATGCACACCCAGCCCAGCAGAGTCAGCCACAAACAGTGGATTACTCTGCAACTCCGAACAAGTAAGCCCAGGGCCAGTCAAGGAAGCATCTGACATTGACCTGCACCAGAAGCTCCAGAACCAACACACCCAGTGGCTGGCTTCAGACCACATCAATCAATTCCTCAAGCAGCACACCCAAAGGGAGATCTTGGCAGGCACCAGACCCTGGTTGGATGAATTACACTTCATGATATCAGCCTCCACACAGCAGTTCATAAACTATGGCCAGGTCAATCCTCATAGTCACCAACTTGAGGGTCAATGCATCCTCAAATGGGCCAATAGCAATCAAGACTCAACTACAGCAGGAAGGTTCACATAACTCACACAAGAGACATTCTTGGAGCACCTAACTCACGTAGTCAGGGAATCTGTACTGCTGAGTCCCACAGGACACCTTCTACAAAAGGCCAACCTACCATGACTGGGAAATATAGAAGATCTACCAAATACACAGAAACAAATACAGAAAGGCTGCCCAAATGAGGAGACAAAGAAACATGTCCCAAATAAAAGAACATGAGAAATCCCAAGAAAAAAAAGAGCTAAATAAAATGGAATCTACCAGTTACAGAGTGCAAAACAATGGTTATAAGAAAGTTCAAGGAAAGAATAGATGAACTCAGTGAGAACTCCTACCAAGGCCTGAATCAGGGAGGAGTACATGCCCTTGACCAGAATCCAACCCAGGATCTTTCAGCCTGCAGGCTCACACACTATCCATTGAATCAAACTGGCTAGAGCTAAATAGCCCCTGTTAACATAAGATGTGGCCCATTACCTCTTCTATTAATCTGGACTTGATTAAGACACCAGAACTTATCCTATTTTATACTTTGATTAGCTTCCTTTTGTCCTCACATCATGATCCAAGCCCTTTAACATGATGCACAAAGCCCTCTGTCATCTAACCCAAGATTCTGCCCAACTTCATCTTTTAGCCAATCATGGCCTCCACTCTTTAGCCTAGGTTACTACTTCCAATTTCCTGTATATCTCTTGTTTGGATGCCTCCCAGTCTCTTTCCTTTTCTTAGTCACATCATTAAGCACTGACATAATCTCCACACACACACAAAAAATGACTTCCCGCCTTTCCCTATTGCTTCTTACTAAATTATGAATCCATCCTCTGTATATCCAAAATATACTATCTACTCATCTTAATAATCTTCTGGATGTTAGTCTCCCTTGAGGGTTCTCTAAGGGTTGGGAGCGAATCTCCTCTTTATATCCCCAGCACTTAGATCAGTGTCAGGAATGTTCAAATATTTTTAAAATAATTATTTAATTACTTTTACCTTTATTTCCTCTATGTCTGCTTTCTGGAGCTTTTCTCTGAAATGATTATCTGTTTCCAGCACATCAATCACTTGCTTGAGATATTCATCATAATATAGTCCAGTATCCTTTAAATTAATAAACAAACAGTAAGCTTCTGAAAGATTTTCCCTCCCTGCATCTAAATATTTCAATTTAACAACAACAACAAAGAAGTCTAGCAAAATAGCATTGAACTATTTGATAGTTTGGGCAAAGTTAAAAACCTCAAATGTTTTGTTGCAGAAACCATGTTTCAGGGATCACACCAAAATCGTGTTTTAATGTTACATAAATGCAGGTTTTCTATATAGCTTAGTCAATGAGGACTTCAAAAAATATTAATTGGTTTTACCCCATTGGTACCTGTTTCTCTCACTGCCATCTATCTCTCCTTTGAATATAATACAGTGGTTTTTTGGCTGGTTAGCTCTACATTAGAAATGTATTGTGATTAATTCTTCTATACATTACTTAATATACTAACTACATATAGCCAGCATGGCTCAGTGGTTGAGCATTGACCTAGGGCCAGAAGGTCATGGTTCAATTCCCAGTCAGGCTATATACCCAGGTTGCAGGCTCAATCCCCAGTCTGATCAGTGATTCCCTCTCATCATTGATGTTTCTATCTCTCTCACCTTCTCCCTTCTTCTCTGAAATCAATAAAAATATATTTAAATACATATATATATATATATATATACTGCATTAAAAAAAAACATTGTCTAACATTAAGTAATACATGCTTGTCCTATATTCTTTTTACTGCTACTTCAAAAATAGTTTCTAAATGTCCAATTTTATAACTAATAAATATTAGCAATATTTTAGTTAAAATTCTTCCTATAAGGTTATATTTGTTATTTGACTTACTGGTGGTTCTATCTTTGCACTGTCCACAGGCTGAGCACCTTTTACTTTTGTCTTGTCTATGTCTATAGGCACAGCTTCAAGAGCAGTAAGTAGACATGTAACCAAGAGAAAATAATATTGCTGTAGGATGGTACTCCACCTCATCTGAAATAAAGGTATAATTATAGAAAGGTCCTGAAAAGATATTTTCAAACTGTATATATTTGAATTCCCAAAGCCATATTAATAATATATTAAATTTCAAGAAGTTTAATACAACAAAAGAATTCTTGGAAAAGGGTTAAAATAGATTATAAAATAAAAATGCTTAAAATACAGCACTAAAGAGAAATGCTTTTCAGCTAAAATTAAAAAGACAAGGAAATAAAATTTTGACAGATTGTATAGTATAAGAAAACAATTGGTTTATTATAAAAGCTTCAAATAAAGATGGCAATGAAGGACTCAAAATTTAAATAAATAGTCCATGTTTTAAAAAGAGAGAATAAGAAAAAAAAAAAAAATCAGCCGAAACCGGTTTGGCTCAATGGTAGAGCGTCGGTCTGCGGACTGAAATGTCCCAGGTTCGATTCTGGTCAGGGGCATGTACGTTGGTTGCGGGCACATCCTCAGTAGGGGGTGTGCAAGAGGCAGCTGGTTGATGTTTCTCTCTCATCAACGTTTCTAGCTCTCTATCTCTCTTCCTCTCTGTAAAAAATCAATAAGATATATTTAAAAAATCATTTTTCCTCAATTAAAATATTAGAGAGCCAAAATTACTTCTGGATATAATATTTAATGAGCTTCAACTTAATTATGTGAAAAGGGTGTTCTATGGGCACAAGTTGATCAAAAGAAACAAATAACTAGCTACAAATATTCCCTTAATCTTATTAATAATTACCATAGCTAATAGTCATTTGCTAAAATTATTTCTGGTCAATAATTTTTCAAATAAATAGGTCAATAAAATATCTGGCAAGATTGAAACAAACAAGGAGCAACTATTGCTGGTCCCATGATATGATTCAAATTTTGCTTATTCAGCTTCCATTCCAGAGGATCTCAGTAGCTCCAGAGGGTCTACTATAAGAATTAAAATGATGCCCAACCCTAGCTGGTTTGGTTCAGTGGGTAGAGCATCAGCTTTCGGACTGAAGGGTCCTGTGTTCAATTCCAGTCAAGGGCACACAGGTTCTGTCCCCTATAGGAGGCATGCAGGAAACAGTTGATCAATGATTCTTTGATGTTTCTATCTCTATCTCCCTTTCCCTTTCTCTCTGAAATCAATAAAAATATATTTTAAAAATAATCTATACTAATAAAAGGGTAATATGCTAATTAAACCAAACATCTTCTGGACAACCTTCCAGATGCACTTCTGCACAAAACTATGGTGGTGGGGCCCAGACAGAGGTGGTATGGGGCGATCAGGCCAGCAGAGGAGAACAGTTAAGGGGGTCAGGCTGGCAGGAGAGAGCAGTTGGAGGGATCAGGCTGCCATGATTATTGGTAATTGGAAAAAAAATTTACTTCTGATGATTATGTGATATCCTTGGGATAACTTATCTCTCTGTCTTTTTACTGCCTTACATAAAGCAAGTGGCTCAAAAATTTAAAAAAATTAAAAAGATGGCTCTTTTTAAACACAACTATAAATTGCACACACAAAAATCTATTAGCATTTATGAGTAATTTTAAAAATAACCAGAATAAATCCCACTTGAGACAGAAAGGCTTCTATAATAAATCATGGGATAAAAGTAAGAAACAAAAGACACAATTTATTATTTATTTTCTTCTGTAGACATGGTCAGACTTAAAAGTTGTTCCATGGAAAATTACCAAAGTGTCTATGAGTGGTTATCATGGCTTACAGTTCTCAGAGATAAAAAAGATCCATATTCTGGAAGATAATCCTATTTGCCTGCCAATAGCTACATCTTCCCTTCCTCCTCAATAACAAAAGACCATTTTATTCAGGGCAGCTACATTTTCCTGCTTCCCTGGCAGCCTGAGCTTTGGTTTAGGACATCTCTCTAAAAGGAGAGAACACATCCTTCTTTGCTTTTGCATCGATGCGTGGAACCTGGCTGTGATGGTTAGAGCTCTAGCATCTCTCTTGGACTATAAAGACCAGGGCCACCCCTTACAGACAGCACATCAAAGAATTAGAAAAAGCTTGGGTCCTTGATGACTTTATGAAGCTACCATACCTAACCCAAACTGCCTGCTTCAAGTCAGCAGCTGTGTATCACTGCAGGTTGCCCAGGAAACCAGAGAGGGTTGGACCTGCATTACCACTATTTGCCCACCATCCAGAACTGAAATATCATTGCTGACATGTACATGATCTCATTCATCTAGGGGAAATGGTGAACAACATAAACTGATGAACAAGAACAGACCCAGAGATAAGGAGCCATGGGTCAAACTGTTGGGCCTCAAAGGGAGGGTGGGGATAAAAGGGAGAGATCAACCAAAGGACTTATGTGCATACATATGAGCCTAACCAGTGGTCCAGGACAATAGGGGGGTGGGGGCATGAGTGGTGGGGGATTGGAATGGGGTGTTGAGACAAATATGTGATACCTCAATCAATAAAGAAATTTAAAAAAAAAAAAGATTTATTTCACATGAAAAAATAAATATTGTGTGTTTAAGCCATCATTAAGTCTGTTTTTTTGTTTTGGTTTGGTTTGTTTTGGTGTTTTTCTTTCTTAACTGATCACTTACCTTCAGATAAATTAAGAATTTTTATCTCCTTTTCACAGATGAGGCAACTGAGATCTGGAGAGGTAAGATGACTTGCACAATATCAAATTAATAAGAAGTTGGTCTTGGCTCCAAGCTCAATGCTTTTTCACTAAAAATGGACTCTTAACAGAATCTAAATGTAAAAAAATAAAAATAAAAACATTAAATATAAACATAAATGTAGGCATATTACAGTGGAAATGGCATGACAGTGTATGAATTGGTACATCCTCTTTTTAAAAAGTGCTGTTTATGATGTGGAAGAAGACTAAATTCTATTATATTCCAATAGTGAGGGCAGAGAGCTATAGTAAATAAACAGAATAAAAATGGGATTGGGATAGACAGATACAGTGCTTGTGATACATAGGTTTTACTGTACTGCTCCCACTTTAAATAAATAAGAACTCCAACTAAAAGTTTATTTTGCTCAGCAATAAGACTTCAAGATATAGGGAATGTTTTCCCATTAAATCCTTAACTGGAATCTTTCTTCACCTTTACCGCTACTTTTAAAAAATTAACTTTGGCCTTAGTCTGTCACAAAGATCAGTAATAAAGCAAAATACCTCAAATTCTTTTTTGAAACCCCACTATCTAACTATAAAATTCAAAGCAGTTAGCTCATGTGCAAACTCACTAGTGAACGTAATTATTTCTAAGCAGTCTGTGAGAAAATAAGATGTGTTCATATTTTAAGAACAAATATATTTCTTTATTTTTATGGTATATTTAACATAAAAATCTTAAGCAGAACAACCATTATGCATGTTAGATGTGGGAAAGGCAAATGGCTTTTATTAACACACCATGGTCAAAATTAAACAACAGATTGAATCCTAACCCCTTCTATTGATATGTACTTGAACATTACTTGCCCCTCTGAGTCTCAATTTTTCTACCTATAAAATTAAAATAATACTTCTTTGTAAGTTTTTGATTGGTTAAAAAAAAAAGAATAAATTCGATGTGAGTAGCATAATACATGGCAATAGTAAATGCTCAATAAATATTAATATCCTTCCTGTCTTGAAAATGAAATAGCTATATATTGAAATAATAAAAATATGTTCTGTTAAAAAAAAAAAAAAAAAAACAATGAACCAGTTTGACATACAACCTTTAAAGGTCATTTTTTGAAGGGCCACGTTGGCACTCTCTGAGCATTGCCATAACCAGAGATGCAGCTAAAGGCCGATGGAAAGACACATACAAGGAAGAAGAACACAATCCCTTCCTCCTTGGCATTAAAACAGAGATTTTGCAAGAGGCCCAGGTTTCTTTCTCCAAGGCACTGTCCCAAGCCAAGAAACCTGGGTTGCTGCTTGTTACTGTCAATGTCATAATGCTAACGGTGAAAAGGAGTGGGGTAGAGGAAAAATGGCTTCCAAGTTTCTCCATGGCAGCAGAAATGAGCACAACTGGTACCCTGATGCTCAACTCCGTTTTTCCCTTTGAAAATGAGCATCAGTGGGAAAGTGAGGTTCAAAATACTTCAACCCTTCCCTGTATCAAGACATCAGTATAGATGTTAGTGTTTCTCATACTCATATCAGCAAAAAAAGACATTAATCCAGGAACCCATTACATGGCCTTTTTCCCCTACATAACCATCAGTTACAGTATCCTTGATAACAGAGAATTCTGGGACCAAAATTTATCTTAGAGATGGTTTGGTTCAGGCCTTAATTTTATAAAAGTTTATAAAAACACAGGGAGGTTAACTGATTTGGCCAAGATCATTTGGTAAAGCCAGGACTGGAATCTGCCTATCAAATTCTAATTAAGCATACCTTTTACCATATCATGGTGGGGTTTTCTTTTATATTTCAGATTGAAAGGCATTAAAGTGATTGCAGTTTTTCATTTTCCTAATACATCATTTGAAAATGTTAGAAGCCTGTTTTCAAAAGTCTATAAACTAGTTGTATATATTAAACATAAAAATAACAAATTTCCCCTTTCTAGACCTTCAATTATTTAGAAAAAGTTAATCATGTGTTATGCCAAATATAGTCAACTCAATTACTCACAATACTTAAAAGATTACCTACTTTAAGGATTATTTTAAACACATTTAAAAATTCTACACTTGATTCCTCCAGCTACCCAATATTTACTAGAATATTTTGCACACCTAAGTCATCCAAAAGGTCCTTAGAAAGTGGAAAGCAATTTAAATATTATTCTAAATAACACAAAATTGGTTTCATATAGAGATATACACAACAAATCCCAAAACAAAGACATTGGTGTAACTGATACTCTAAACTAAATCAAGTGTTTTTGTTTTGTTTTTGTTGCTTTGTTTTTAATTGACCTTTCAGAGAGAGAAAAAGACAAACAAACATCCATCAACCACCTTCCACATGCCCCACAACCACACCCTATTTACGCATGTGCCCTTCAGTGTAGGGGACAATATTCCAACCAATTGAGCCACACTGGCCAGGACTCAATAACTAGTATTTTGAAAGTTATCCTCATTGCCTTCATTGTGCATTATATTTTAACTGGGCTTTACAGACCACATACCAGCTTGCCAAAAAGCATACTGAATGGGTGTATACTACAAATTGTGTGATGTGAACAAAAACTATCTCAGGAGATAAGAGAAAAGTAAACATAACACGGACCTGACCCGTGCAAGATGAGTAAAATTAGGATAGAACAGAATGAGTAACCACAAGGAGATAGAAATAAATTTTTCACTCATACTACAACGTTGGACCAGATCATGGAGAGTTTAAAGACCAAAATGAGAAAAGTTTATGTTCACCCTAATAACAAGAGTGATATTATCTGAGATTTCATTTCTAATTCTTAATGTTCACATTAGCTTCTCTTTTTTTAAATTCTCGACCCTATTAACTGAGGAATGTTTGTTGAAACTTTTGTTGTTTAACTTGTTAAAGTTTCATAAGACAAGAACTCACACTTGGCTTAAATCAGAATAAATCCTGAGACAATTTCTCTGAGGGGTAAGATGCTAGAATCTGGATATTGCCACACTCTAATTATTCATCAGAATTTACCAGGGAAGACTTTAAGAAACAAATAATTTATATAGGCTGTACAAGAAGCTATAGATATTCTGATCTAAATCTGATATAGTCATATTACTTTAAGAATTCCTTAAAGCCACTGTCTTATCAATTCTAAATCCACAATCTCCTTCTATCAGAAATATTTGCATTTAATCTCACTCTCCCTCCACTTTTGTTTTTTTTTTTAAACAAGATAACACATCATTTGTTGTTCATATTCATCCATGGATTTAATAGCCTTAATAAAAGGCAGCGATGGAAGACAGCACTTATTACTCAATTATGTAAAATGTACATTATCCAATTTAGGAGTTTAGTGGAGAGCACCATCCACAATAACCACATTCCCTCCCTGAATTAGTACTTAGCAGGTGCAACAAGGAAATACCATTTTTTCATGTTCTGAAACTGAAAGAGCTCACCACACACCCGACCATTTCTCACTTAAGGGAAAACAATAACACAAATGACTTTCTCCTCTCCTAAGTGTCAGGGGTCACTGCCTTAACAGAACGGGCAGAAGAGCAGGATTCACCGGCCTAGCTTTGCTCGCTCGGCAGCGCGGAGGTAGTGAGCATTACCAGGGAATTTGTGGGTACAACAACCACCTCAACAGTTGGCACCCCCGTCACCCATCAACCTGTCAAGGCCAGGCTGGAACCACGCCTGGGTCTTGGTCCAGCACCCACCCACCCCCGCCAGTTCCTCGCCAAGTGCCTGTCACCCTCATCCACCCCGAAGAAAGCCTGGGTGCCCTGCAGCGAATGGAGCGGAGGCAAGGACCCCGCCCCCCACCCTCCACCCCAGCCTTCCGCTGCAAGTTCGAGCTGGAAGCCCCCTCCCACCCATGCCTTCCCACGGGGTGGCCCCAACCCATCCTCAGTACCCAGCAAGGCAGAAGACCCCGCCCCAGCCTCCCGCGGTACCGATCCGCATCTACCTTCGAGATCACGAGCCTTCCCTAGCCCCAGTCTCGACCCCCCCCCCCCCCCCGAATCTCCGCCAGCAAATGCCTGCCCCGCACAGACCTGTCCTGTCTTGCCAGCTTCCAGTTTGCAGCTCAGCTCTGTACTCTCAGCCCACCGAGCGCTCCCGCCTCCTCGCTGTCTTGGCAACAGCCCCCGCCCCCAGGCGGCCGGTGATTGGTCCGACTGGGAACGCCAAGGCGCTGATTGGATGGTGCGGGGACGAGACTTCTCAGCGGGCAGCGCTTACACTGAGAAGCCGAGGGGAAGTTAAGCCAAGAGGGACGTGGCGCTCGGCTACGCGGGCGGAGAAGCCGCGCCCCTTCCTTCGTTCGCTTTCAAGGGGAAGCCTGTAGAGCAAGATTTGGGCGGGTGAGCTGCCGTCCCAGGAGCGGCCGTCCCTTGGTTACCGGCAGTGCCCAAACCAGGTAGCGACTGTCTTTCAGGCCCATTTCCTCCCACGGGCCTCGTTGGGGTCTCACACCCTCGAGCCTCCTCCCCACTCACCTCCGTTATGCAGGGCCCTCGGCCACAGAGGCTTGACTGCTTTTTACTCCACCTTCACTCACACCCATGTGCGGGGACTTATCTCTTATCTCTACATCCAACACCCTCTAGAGCTGAGGCATCTACTCCCAACCATCATTTTAAAGATGGGGAAAGCTGAAGCTCAAAGATACACATGGCTCGAGGGCTAGAGAAGCTCTTGGAAGACCAAGACTGATTGAGTGCCAAGCAATATCACTTCTCTGAGCCTTACATAGCTTTCTCCTTTGTGAAAATGGCATGATTTATTTCACAGTTGTTAGTGAAGATTACATGAGGTAATATTCCAGAAAACCAATACAGAACCTGTTGCATATGCAAGAAATAATAGCTTTTTTAAAATCAGGAAATAATAGGAGATAGTAGCTAAGTGCACCAGTTTGGAGCCAGGCTGCCCGTGTTGCCAAACCAGACTCACCGCAAACCAACTCCATGGCAGGGTAAGTTACTTAAACGCTCTGTACTTCGGTTTCCTTGTTTCTAAAATGGGGGTTAAAATACCACCCTCCTCCTTAAAGCATAACAAGTTAATAGGAAAGTGATTGGCACCTAGTTAGTGCTCTGTAAATGTCAGCCATGGCCGTGCTAGGACAATAATTCAGATTTGGTTTCCAAGATCAACAATCTTTACTCTTATATCTTCTCATCTATACACTTAGAACAATGCCTCATAGTTAAGCTCCTAGATAAGGCTCAGGAGAAAATATTCATTTTCTATAAATCAAAATCTCAAACTGTCTCCCTCATCATCATGAAAGTCCTGACTCATGAGGATGTGATGACTCTGCCTCCTCTGAAGATTTGATAGTACAGGCAAACATGAGAAAAACAATCACCTTCAGTTTTCATGGATAGATTGAAGAGTAAAAGGACTAGAGAAAGGATGTTCAAGATGTTTTGATGTAAGAGCACTATATTTCAATTTGAAAAATGCATGGGAAATATTTTAATATTAGTTATGTATCATTGGTAACCAATATATATATATATATAAAAGGCTAATATGCTAAGTGTCCCTCCAACTGTCTGACTGGTTACTATAATGTGCACTAACCATCAGGGGGCAGATGCTCAATGCAATAGCTACCGTGACACACACTGGCCATTTACAAAGAAACAGCACCGCCTGTGAGGCCTGGTGCCCACAAAGCAACCCTCAGCTTCCCCCAAGTGGGACACGGGCCACCATCACCCCAGAGCAACAGCCCACCAAATCACAGCCAACACTGCCCACACCCCATGGTGCAAAATGTGGCCCACAGCCAACCCCAGCCCAGAAACAGCGGCTATGGGTGCCAGGTAATGATGTCACGTAGCAATGCCTAGCCTCCTTGGAGTTTCTTCAGCCCAGGAATACAACTTGCTTTATAGCCCGGTGCAAACATTTTACACTTTAACCAAATGTCTGTGAAGTGTTTTCATGTGCCTCATTTCATTTGACCCTCACAGAAGTTATGGAGTAGGTAGATAGGAGACTCAGTAGAATCCTATTTTCATTAGCCAGAAAACAGAGATAAAGACAGTTTAGAACTGTGGTCTGATTGAAAAGAAGAAATAGTGAAACTTGAAAATGACTTCAGGTTTTCTCACTGCCCAGAATATAGTCAAGCACTGCTGCAGTTAAATATTTTACCCTTTGTTCTCCCTGCGTGATCTACAATAATAATCTGCTTCATGTTGATATTTACTGCTGTGTTGCTGACAATTACCTGAAAGAGAAGTTGGGGTGCTTCACTGGGCTGAAAAAAGTTAAGCTAAATCAGAAAGCAGGTCTAATTAAGCAAGTTTATCTATATACATATATAGCTCTCGCTGGCGCCAATCGCACACATTTTTCCATCTGTCATTGCCGATTGTGAATTTGGTTGACACTATTATAAAGGGCAAGTAGCAATATTAAAATATTTCTTCAAATTAATTTTCTTACAATATGCATAAATTTGTACACCTGAGCCTCTAGTATTAGTGTAAGATCAGAAAGTAATATCACATCCCAACACTGTGGAAAACACTGAGTCTAGAATCTAGATGCTAATAACACCAACTCCAGATTGTGTCAACCAAAAATATTGTATCTCTGGACATTGTCAGTTACCCATTGAAAAGTAAAATCTCCCCTAGTTGAGAACCATTGATTTAAAACAGCAGAAGTCAATTCCAGCTGACATAATGAAAAGGGGGATTTACTGAGAGGATAGAGGAGTAATTCATAAACTAATTAGAGAAAGAATCCCAGAGGCAGGAGATCTTGGGCCTCTTTTCTCAAAGTGATATTTAGGCTATCTCTCTCTGTGTCTTTGGGTATTCCTAATTAAGTTTAAATTCCTCAGAAGGAAGAATCTAAGTCCTGGTTAGGTATAAAACATTCACTCCTGTTGCCTAGGGAATAGAGTCTATAACTAGAATCAAGCTGGGAAGAAGTGTTCAACAGAAAACAAGATGAAACAACAACAAAAGGAATAGCCACCATACTTTCCCCATGTTCTGTACCTGTATTGGCTAAAGTGACATGAAACCTAACTACAGAGGCTTCAATAAACTGGAGTTTATTTTTCTATGTTAAAAGTAAATCTGGAAGTAGCTAGTTGTTGGCATTGATTCAGCTGCTAAGCAATATCATCACCACCTCTTTCCTTTCCTCAGCTCTGTCTTTTCATGTTCAAGCTTATTGAAAGTTGAAAGATGGCTGTCATACTTCCTGACATCATGAATCAATCACATTCAGAAGTAGGAAAACGGGGAGGAGGGAAGGAGCAAAGGGACCTCTTATGTGAGAAGTTCCTTCTCCTTTTATCAGCAAAGGAAAAGCTTTCACTCAACAACCTTTAAGTTCCATTGACCAGAAATAGGTTAAGTGGCCATTCTTTTAGCTACAAGATGATGCACTGCTCACGTCCTCCTTCGGGAAGGGACTGGCTGCCCAGTTGTGAGGAATGTGGTAGCTGACAGCATGCTCCTGTTACCTGCTTCAGAGTCCACCTCAGCTCTAGAACCCAAGTTACACTCTTCTTGGAGAGAGTCCCAGCCAATAACTAATTTTCTCCAATTAGTTATCAGTGAACTACTGTGTTTCCCCGAAAATAAGACATCCTCCGAAAATAAGACCTAGTGTATGGAAATATAAGACATCCCCTGAAAATAAGAACTAGCGCAACTTTGGGAGAAAAAAATAATATAAGACACTTATTTTCAGGGAAACAGGGTAGTAACGTGGTAGTACAAGGGCCTATTCCAACACAGAACTCCACTAACTGTCAATCTTTGCTCTGGAGATCCCCATTGGGATGACAAAGACTTTGTCAGGTTTGCATCATTGTCTGCAACCTTCCTTTACATGATTCAGCTTATACGTCTTTTCCTTTTATAAGCGTTATTAGAGGCCCGATGCACGAAATACATGCAAGGGGCTCAGCCCCACCAAAGCCGGTTTGGCTCAGTGGTAGAGTGTCAGTCTGTGGACTGAAAGGTCCCGGGTTCGATTCTGGTCAAGAGCATGTACATTGGTTGCGGGCACATCCTCGGTGGGGGGTGTGCAGGAGGCAGCTGGTCGGTGTTTCTCTCTCATCAACATTTCTAGCTCTCTCTCCCTTCCTCTCTGTAAAAAGTCAATAAAAATATATATTTTTTTTTTTTTAAAAAGGGGGGGCTCAGCCCTCGCAGCCTGGCTGACACTTGGCCCTGGCAGCCTTGTGGCCCTGCGGTCCCACCCACTGATCATTCTGGAAGGTCCTTCTGGAAGGTCGTTCCGCCCTCCAGTCTAATTAGCATATTAGCTCTTTGTTATATAGGACTAGAGGCCTGCACCCTCTCACAATCCAGGACCCCTCAGGGGACGTCCAACTGCCTGTTTAGGCCTGACCCCTGCAGTTAGACATCCAGCAATCAGACATCCCTCTCACAATCCGTGACCACTCCCTCCTAACTGCTCGCCTGCCTGGCTGCTCACCTCTCACCACTTGCCTGCCTGCCTGCTCACCCCTAACCACTTGTCTGCCTGCCACCCCTAACTGTTCACCTGCCTGCCTGTTTGCTCCTTACCACTCAGTTCTCCACTCCTTAGTGCTGCCACAGAGGAAGGAGAGGCTCCTGCCACCACCACTGTGCTCACCAGCCATGAGCCCAGCTTCTGGCTGAGGGGCACTCCCATTGTGGGAGCACACTGATCACCAGGGAGCAGCTCCTGTGCTGAGCATCTGCCCCCATTGGTCAGTGTGCATCAATGCAACCAGTCATTCCATCATAACGGTCACTTAGGCTTTTATATATATAGATTCCCTGATAAACCTTTTATACACTAACTCTGTATCAGCATCTTCTTCCTAGAGAACCTACTCAGTACTCTATCTTTCTAATTTCAGTAAATGGTATGCACACAGCTGCTCAAGCCAAAACCCTGTAAATCATCTCTGATTTTTAGTTTTCCTTCATATATACAGCCCTGATTTTTAGTTTTCCCTCATCTAAACCATCACCAAGGTTCTTTATGATGTCTTCTATCTTTCTGTTTAATCTCACTTCTCACTGCCCTCCTTCTCAATCACAATACCCTAGCAATGCTGGATATTTTGTTCTTAGAAATCATTCCCAGCTAAGGCCTTTGCCAAAGCTGTCCTGACTTCAGTAGACCACTATTTCCCCTACATATTACATGGCTG